TTTGTGCTCTATAATTGTAATTGCGGTGCTTTTCGTATTTGTTGTGGTGTGTTCGAAATTAGTACATTTAGCGCTTTTGTTTTTTCAATGTTTTTCCTTTATATTATATAGCATGTTATAGATTATACTTACTTTGTGCTCTATAATTGTAATTGCGATGCTTTTCGTATTCTTGTTGTAGAGTGTTCGAAATTAGTACATTTAGCGCTTTTGTTTTTTCAATGTTTTCCCTTTATATTATATAGCATGTTATAGATTATACTTACTTTGTGCTCTATAATTGTAATTGCGGTGTTTTTCGTATTTGTTGTAGAGTGTTCGAAATTAGTACATTTAGCGCGTTTGTTTTTTCAATGTTTTTCCTTTATATTATATAGCATGTTATAGATTATACTTACTTTGTGCTCTATAATTGTAATTGCGGTACTTTTCGTATCGTTTTGTAGTGTTCGAAATTAGTACATTTAGCGCTTTTGTTTTTTCAATGTTTTTCCTTTATATTATATTGCATGTTATAGATTATACTTTTGTGCTCTATAATTGTAATTGCGGTGCTTTTCGTATTTGTTGTAGAGTGTTCGAAATTAGTACATTTAGCGCTTTTTTTTTTCAATGTTTTCCTTTATATTATATAGCATGTTATAGATTATACTTACTTTGTGCTCTATAATTGTAATTGCGGTGCTTTTCGTATTCGTTGTAGAGTGTTCGAAAATTAGACATTTAGCGCTTTTGTTTTTTCAATGTTTTCCTTTATATTATATAGCATGTTATAGATTGTACTTACTTTGTGCTCTATAATTGTAATTGCGGTGTTTTTCGTTTGTTTGTAGAGTGTTCGAAATTAGTACATTTAGCGCGTTTGTTTTTTCAATGTTTTCCTTTATATTATATAGCATGTTATAGATAATACTTACTTTGTGCTCTATAATTGTAATTGCGGTGCTTTTCGTATTCGTTGTAGAGTGTTCGAAATTAGTACATTTAGCGCTTTTTTTTTCAATGTTTTCCTTTATATTATATAGCATGTTATAGATTATACTTACTTTGTGCTCTATAATTGTAATTGCGGTGCTTTTCGTATTCGTTGTAGAGTGTTCGAAATTAGTACATTTAGCGCTTTTTTTTTTCAATGTTTTCCCTTTATATTATATAGCATGTTATAGATTATACTTACTTTGTGCTCTATAATTGTAATTGCGGTGTTTTTCGTATTTGTTGTAGAGTGTTCGAAATTAGTACATTTAGCGCGTTTGTTTTTTCAATGTTTTTCCTTTATATTATATAGCATGTTATAGATTATACTTACTTTGTGCTCTATAATTGTAATTGCGGTACTTTTCGTATTCGTTGTAGAGTGTTCGAAATTAGTACATTTAGCGCTTTTGTTTTTCAATGTTTTTCCTTTATATTATATAGCATGTTATAGATTATACTTAATTTGTGCTCTATAATTGTAATTGCGGTGCTTTTCGTATTCGTTGTAGAGTGTTCGAAATTAGTACATTTAGCGCTTTTTTTTTTCAATGTTTTCCCGTTATATTATATAGCATGTTATAGATTGTACTTACTTTGTGCTCTATAATTGTAATTGCGGTGCTTTTTCGTATTTGTTGTAGAGTGTTCGAAATTAGTACATTTAGCGCGTTGTTTTTTCAATTTTTTTCCTTTATATTATATAGCATGTTATAAATTATACTTACTTTGTGCTATATAATTGTAATTGCGCTGCTTTTCGTATTCGTTGTAGAGTGTTCGAAATTAGTACATTTAGCGCTTTTGCTTTTTCAATGTTTTTCCTTTATATTATATAGCATGTTATAGATTTTACTTACTTTGTGCTCTATAATTGTAATTGCGGTACTTTTCGTATTCGTTGTAGAGTGTTCGAAATTAGTACATTTAGCGCTTTTGCTTTTTCAATGTTTTTCCTTTATATTATATAGCATGTTATAGATTATACTTACTTTGTGCTCTATAATTGTAATTGCGGTGCTTTTCGTATTTGTTGTAGAGTGTTCGGAATTAGTACATTTAGCGCTTTTGTTTGTTCAATGTTTTCCCTTTATATTATATAGCATGTTATAGATTATACTTACTTTGTGCTCTATAATTGTAATTGCGGTGTTTTTCGTATTTGTTGTAGAGTGTTCGAAATTAGTACATTTAGCGCGTTTGTTTTTTCAATGTTTTTCCTCTATATTATATAGCATGTTATAAATTATACTTACTTTGTGCTCTATAATTGTAATTGCGGTACTTTTCGTATTCGTTGTAGTGTTCAAAATTAGTACATTTAGCGCTTTTGTTTTTTCAATGTTTTTCCTTTATATTATATTGCATGTTATAGATTGTACTTACTTTGTGCTCTATAATTGTAATTGCGGTGTTTTTCATATTTGTTGTGGTGTGTTCGAAATTAGTACATTTAGCGCTTTAGTTTTTTCAATGTTTTCCCTTTATATTATATAGCATCACTACCAAAAAAATGGTCTTTCACCACGGCTTGACGGTTCGTTACAATAACATCGTAACAAATAATGGTTTTTGTTACGACAACTTTCGTTACCAAAAAATATTATCTTGGTCAATGTTTCAGGTTCTTTAATTACGCAAAATAATCTGTAACAAAAACGGAGTTGGTAGACTTTGTTCAAAATAACATTAGTTACGATTGTGCTTCGTAACAAATGGTGTATAAATTTATTTTTTAGATTATTCTTTTTAATAATATTAAAATAAATTCAAAGAAAAGGAAAACAATGATTTTTATTAATAAAAAAATTATTTATTTTAATTATATTAAAATAAATTAAAAAAAAACAAATGCTTTTTATATCCTTAGTTATACAATATTCACACTTTCAAAAATTATTCTACTCATCTTCATAGACATTGCGACTCCGAAGCCCTACATCCTTCCGGTGAAATCGAAGGTGTTCGTCAGCCGTCATAGCTCACCACTGTTGAGTTGAGGAGCCACCACCAACTTATTTTGGTACTCGATATGTCCTTCGATTTTGTTGACCATCTGTTATGGTTGATTCGCTTATAGTTTTGGGAATCAAAAAGGTTCCCTATCCTTCGCCCTACGAGTCGAGCGCCGACAATGGTGTCATGACTTTTAATCGCCATCTCCAATGCCTCTTCAGGGACAATTGGTCACCTATCCCCTTGACGGAGAAGGTGTCCTCACCCTCCTAGCCCTATAAGTGTCATTTGTCCTCTCATTTGTTTCCCCATTTTTATGTACATTATTGTTCATTTTCATCGGTGTTGATGGTGTTGACTAGTTACTTGAGTATGAAGTTCGGGTTGATTTGGTAGGTATTCTCTCCATCCCCAAACTTACACTTCCGTAACTGCCTCTTCAGCTTGCACTCCACCTGCTCGATCAATTGCTCATTCGGCTAATTTCTTCCCCCTTGATCCAAAACCAACTATATATATCTTCCGAGTTGATAAGATTGTAGGCTTCTTATTAGATAACAAAATAAATCAGCTCGCTGCGGGCCTTTTCCTTATTTGTGATATGGCATCAAATTAAAGTCTTTTATTGAATTATATTTGTTACTCTCATTATACATGTATTGTCTTCTAGCATTTTTCCTCTTTTCTTTAGTTCTTACAGGGTAGCTTCTAAGGTTTGAAATATAATATATATATATATTTATTTTCTTGGAATAGGAGTTTGCTAAATTAAAGAAGAAGCTTTAGACCAGCAAAGCAAATTTGGAAAAGTTAAGATAAGAGAACGAGCATAAACATTTTTCTCTAAGTATTTTTACATCAGCCTTGTGAGTCAATTTTCAGCTTTAAATTGATTGTGGTTTATGATTCAATTAATCTATGTTCTGGTTTATTTATGTCTCATTCACCTGGCTTGTTTTATTTTGGTGTTTGCATTTTGTTTTGGTTGTTGGCCTTTGTTGCTCTTTCTTGTTGATTGTGTGTGGAAGTTGAGCCACTCTAGATTGTGAGAATTTTGGTGAGATGGTTGTGATTTGTGTTCGATTTGGTTGTGATCATTCTTGGAAGTGTTAGTTTCATGCATATATCTTGGGTGGTAGTAACCTCAGTTTTGAGTTGCCAATGACTTCTGTTTTATTTTATTTTGGTGCTTCTTGAAGTCATGGAGTTGGAGGCTGATATTGGTGTATGGTAGTTTGTCTTTGATCGAATAGGTTGGTGCATAGGCAAGTTCTTCAAATCAGATTTTGATTGACAGTCATCCAGGTAACTGAGTAGTGCGAGGGGTGTGCAGAGTTGGTGTTGGCAGCATGCTTTTTCGGGTGTGCAACATTGAAGGAAGAATCTTGGATTCTTATGCATCCATTTGATATTCCAGTTCATTATTTTTTATCTAGACTGGTATTCTCCTCAACTCTGAGTTGCTGGTGACTTTTGTTTTATTTGATTTTGATGCTTCTTTAAGTCATGGAATTGGAGGCTGGATTGATCCAAGCAGTCCATTATTTGATTTGTTGTTTCCTTTGGCAGATGCAGTGGAAGTTCATCTCTGGTTTTGATATTGTGAGTTTAGTTCTCATCATGGGATTTCATCTATAGTTTTGATTCTTGGAGGTAAATTTTTTTATTGTTGGCTTTGCATTGAGGATTGAACATATCAAGTGTGATCTTTGGTTGATTCTTCCTTTTGGTTGGTGGCTTGTTATATCCTTGCGCTTGAGTTTGCGGTTTGGAGATCATGGATTGGATGATTGGTGCAATATTGGTTATAGGAGGTATTCATTCTCAAGGAGTGGGTTTGTTGTTAATCTAGTCTAGTTGTGGGAGGTTGGTATGGCTTGAGTAGCCGAATTGCTTGGGATTTTATGGTTTTTGTAATCATGTTCAGGCTTTGGATGGTTGGATTTGGTAGGTTTCTTTTAGTTTGGGTCTGTGCGTTCCTATGTAATCATGTTCACACTTTCCTTGGTCAAGGTCTTCGTGACATCCGCGTCAGTCCCGGACACACCCCTTATTTTGCCGACCATTTATGGGGCGACTACCCTTCGCGATGTCGTCGGCGAAGATCCTATTGAGTGGAGCTACAAGGACGTAAGGATCTACTTTAATACCTTTCTTGTATTGCCTTCCGAAATTTATAAGAAGTATGACTTAAAGTAATCTCTGTGTTGGCAATTGCAGCTCATGCGCCGGGCTTGAAATGTTGGTACCGATACACCCATGTTAATTGCCCCGTTTGTCATATGGATTGAATGTCGAACCTGTCTTTGGATGGATTGTGTTGAGTTTTTGTTGAACTATGTCTGGAATTGATGCGTAGACCTTTGTGGTTTGAATTCGTATGGTGAAAAATGTGCCTAATGGGATTGATGGATAACCGTATTTGCTTATTGCGTTGTTTACTTGTGTTTGAACTGTTAAGCACGTTTTGCGGAACAGGTTGTTGATGTGTAGATACTAGTAGGCTTGTTCTATGGGTTGCTTTACTTTGTTGGTAGGTATGGAATTCAGATTTTAATATGAATTAATGTTTGCGCGGGGCGTAATGATGATGATGTTTATAGCAATCTTTGTATTCGTAATTTATTTTCGTATCATACGCATCACAGCAGGTCCATTTGTTACGAACAATTTCAATTGCAGCGTACCCCCTGTTTTTCACAATACGCTATTTTTCCGTAACAAAAGGCCAGAAAATCGTAACAAAAAGTGGTCTTTGGATATTTGTTGTTACAAACGGTTTCGTGACTATAAGTAGGTAATATTTTTTTTACGGGGTTCAATGCCGTTACAAATAGTCGTAACAAAAACCAAGTTCTGACAACCGGTCAATGGAAAACACTTGTAACGCGAGGAACTTCCGTAACAAATACCGTAACTAAAAGTCCGGCCACACGCGCGGAAGGATCTACCTTTCGTTACGAGAGAAAATTCGTAACAAACATCGTAACAAATACCATACTTCAGGGAGCGTTGACCGATCGTAATAGTTACGAAAAGTGGCGTGGCAAAAAACATTCGTTACGCGAGTACACATTACGGAAAAAAGTCGTAACAAAGGCGTAGCAAATACGAAAATTGCACGAAATATGGCTTTTCGTTACGATGTTCCGGCCGTAATAGAAAACAGTTTTTTTGGTAGTGCATGTTATAGATTATACTTACTTTGTGCTCTATAATTGTAATTGCGGTGCTTTTCGTATTCGTTGTAGAGTGTTCGAAATTAGTACATTTAGCGCTTTTGTTTTTTCAATGTTTTCCCTTTATATTATATAGCATGTTATAGATTATACTTACTTTGTGCTCTATAATTGTAATTGCGGTGCTTTTCGTATTTGTTGTAGAGTGTTCGAAATTAGTACATTTAGCGCTTTGTTTTTTCAATGTTTTTCCTTTATATTATATAGCATGTTATAGATTATACTTACTTTGTGCTCTATAATTGTAATTGCGGTGCTTTTCGTATTCGTTGTAGAGTGTTCGAAATTAGTACATTTAGCGCTTTTGTTTTTTCAATGTTTTTCCTTTATATTATATAGCATGTTATAGATTATACTTACTTTGTGCTCTATAATTGTAATTGCGGTGCTTTCGTATTCGTTGTAGAGTGTTCGAAATTAGTACATTTAGCGCTTTTGTTTTTTCAATGTTTTTCCTTTATATTATATAGCATGTTATAGATTATACTTACTTTGTGCTCTATAATTGTAATTGCGGTGCTTTTCGTATTCGTTGTAGAGTGTTCGAAATTAGTACATTTAGCGCTTTTGTTTTTTCAATGTTTTCCCTTTATATTATATAGCATGTTATAGATTATACTTACTTTGTGCTCTATAATTGTAATTGCGGTGCTTTTCGTATTCGTTGTAGAGTGTTCGAAATTAGTACATTTAGCGCTTTTTTTTTCAATGTTTTTCCTTTATATTATATAGCATGTTATAGATTATACTTACTTTGTGCTCTATAATTGTAATTGCGGTGCTTTTCGTATTTGTTGTAGAGTGTTCGAAATTAGTACATTTAGCGCTTTTGTTTTTTCAATGTTTTCCCTTTATATTATATAGCATGTTATAGATTATACTTACTTTGTGCTCTATAATTGTAATTGCGGTGCTTTTCGTATTTGTTGTAGAGTGTTCGAAATTAGTACATTTAGCGCTTTTGTTTTTTCAATGTTTTCCCTTTATATTATATAGCATGTTATAGATTATACTTACTTTGTGCTCTATAATTGTAATTGCGGTGCTTTTCGTATTTGTTGTAGTGTTCGAAATTAGTACATTTAGCGCTTTTGTTTTTTCAATGTTTTTCCTTTATATTATATAGCATGTTATAGATTATACTTACTTTGTGCTCTATAATTGTAATTGCGGTGCTTTTCGTATTTGTTGTAGAGTGTTCGAAATTAGTACATTTAGCGCTTTTGTTTTTTCAATGTTTTTCCTTTATATTATATAGCATGTTATAGATTATACTTACTTTGTGCTCTATAATTGTAATTGCGGTGCTTTTCGTATTCGTTGTAGAGTGTTCGAAATTAGTACATTTAGCGCTTTTGTTTTTTCAATGTTTTCCCTTTATATTATATAGCATGTTATAGATTATACTTACTTTGTGCTCTATAATTGTAATTGCGGTGCTTTTCGTATTCGTTGTAGAGTGTTCGAAATTAGTACATTTAGCGCTTTTGTTTTTTCAATGTTTTTCCTTTATATTATATAGCATGTTATAGATTATACTTACTTTGTGCTCTATAATTGTAATTGCGGTGCTTTTCGTATTTGTTGTAGAGTGTTCGAAATTAGTACATTTAGCGCTTTTGTTTTTTCAATGTTTTTCCTTTATATTATATAGCATGTTATAGATTATACTTACTTTGTGCTCTATAATTGTAATTGCGGTGCTTTTCGTATTTGTTGTAGAGTGTTCGAAATTAGTACATTTAGCGCTTTTGTTTTTTCAATGTTTTTCCTTTATATTATATAGCATGTTATAGATTATACTTACTTTGTGCTCTATAATTGTAATTGCGGTGCTTTTCGTATTCGTTGTAGAGTGTTCGAAATTAGTACATTTAGCGCTTTTGTTTTTTCAATGTTTTTCCTTTATATTATATAGCATGTTATAGATTATACTTACTTTGTGCTCTATAATTGTAATTGCGGTGCTTTTCGTATTTGTTGTAGAGTGTTCGAAATTAGTACATTTAGCGCTTTTGTTTTTTCAATGTTTTTCCTTTATATTATATAGCATGTTATAGATTATACTTACTTTGTGCTCTATAATTGTAATTGCGGTGCTTTTCGTATTTGTTGTAGAGTGTTCGAAATTAGTACATTTAGCGCTTTTGTTTTTTCAATGTTTTTCCTTTATATTATATAGCATGTTATAGATTATACTTACTTTGTGCTCTATAATTGTAATTGCGGTGCTTTTCGTATTTGTTGTAGAGTGTTCGAAATTAGTACATTTAGCGCTTTTGTTTTTTCAATGTTTTTCCTTTATATTATATAGCATGTTATAGATTATACTTACTTTGTGCTCTATAATTGTAATTGCGGTGCTTTTCGTATTCGTTGTAGAGTGTTCGAAATTAGTACATTTAGCGCTTTTGTTTTTTCAATGTTTTCCTTTATATTATATAGCATGTTATAGATTATACTTACTTTGTGCTCTATAATTGTAATTGCGGTGCTTTTCGTATTCGTTGTAGAGTGTTCGAAATTAGTACATTTAGCGCTTTTGTTTTTTCAATGTTTTTCCTTTATATTATATAGCATGTTATAGATTATACTTACTTTGTGCTCTATAATTGTAATTGCGGTGCTTTTCGTATTCGTTGTAGAGTGTTCGAAATTAGTACATTTAGCGCTTTTGTTTTTTCAATGTTTTTCCTTTATATTATATAGCATGTTATAGATTATACTTACTTTGTGCTCTATAATTGTAATTGCGGTGCTTTTCGTATTCGTTGTAGAGTGTTCGAAATTAGTACATTTAGCGCTTTTGTTTTTTCAATGTTTTTCCTTTATATTATATAGCATGTTATAGATTATACTTACTTTGTGCTCTATAATTGTAATTGCGGTGCTTTTCGTATTTGTTGTAGAGTGTTCGAAATTAGTACATTTAGCGCTTTTGTTTTTTCAATGTTTTTCCTTTATATTATATAGCATGTTATAGATTATACTTACTTTGTGCTCTATAATTGTAATTGCGGTGCTTTTCGTATTCGTTGTAGAGTGTTCGAAATTAGTACATTTAGCGCTTTTGTTTTTTCAATGTTTTTCCTTTATATTATATAGCATGTTATAGATTATACTTACTTTGTGCTCTATAATTGTAATTGCGGTGCTTTTCGTATTGTTGTAGAGTGTTCGAAATTAGTACATTTAGCGCTTTTGTTTTTTCAATGTTTTTCCTTTATATTATATAGCATGTTATAGATTATACTTACTTTGTGCTCTATAATTGTAATTGCGGTGCTTTTCGTATTCGTTGTAGAGTGTTCGAAATTAGTACATTTAGCGCTTTTGTTTTTTCAATGTTTTTCCTTTATATTATATAGCATGTTATAGATTATACTTACTTTGTGCTCTATAATTGTAATTGCGGTGCTTTTCGTATTTGTTGTAGAGTGTTCGAAATTAGTACATTTAGCGCTTTTGTTTTTTCAATGTTTTCCCTTTATATTATATAGCATGTTATAGATTATACTTACTTTGTGCTCTATAATTGTAATTGCGGTGCTTTTCGTATTTGTTGTAGAGTGTTCGAAATTAGTACATTTAGCGCTTTTGTTTTTTCAATGTTTTTCCTTTATATTATATAGCATGTTATAGATTATACTTACTTTGTGCTCTATAATTGTAATTGCGGTGCTTTTCGTATTTGTTGTAGAGTGTTCGAAATTAGTACATTTAGCGCTTTTGTTTTTTCAATGTTTTCCCTTTATATTATATAGCATGTTATAGATTATACTTACTTTGTGCTCTATAATTGTAATTGCGGTGCTTTTCGTATTTGTTGTAGAGTGTTCGAAATTAGTACATTTAGCGCTTTTGTTTTTTCAATGTTTTTCCTTTATATTATATAGCATGTTATAGATTATACTTACTTTGTGCTCTATAATTGTAATTGCGGTGCTTTTCGTATTCGTTGTAGAGTGTTCGAAATTAGTACATTTAGCGCTTTTGTTTTTTCAATGTTTTTCCTTTATATTATATAGCATGTTATAGATTATACTTACTTTGTGCTCTATAATTGTAATTGCGGTGCTTTTCGTATTTGTTGTAGAGTGTTCGAAATTAGTACATTTAGCGCTTTTGTTTTTTCAATGTTTTTCCTTTATATTATATAGCATGTTATAGATTATACTTACTTTGTGCTCTATAATTGTAATTGCGGTGCTTTTCGTATTTGTTGTAGAGTGTTCGAAATTAGTACATTTAGCGCTTTTGTTTTTTCAATGTTTTTCCTTTATATTATATAGCATGTTATAGATTATACTTACTTTGTGC